TTATAGGGCGAAGATAGCGATCACTGTTTCTACCTTAAGTAAACACTTGTATATAGTGCCACATGGACTTCTCAGTCCCTATATCGACTAAAGTTATTTATCGCAGTAGCTGTCAGCATATCTAACTTGGTATGTAATCTTAATGTATTGTACCAGGTCACATCTCCCAGATGGTAATGTAAGTGAAACAATTTTGTTTGACCTTGTATTCTAATTTTAAAAAAATCTATCACATGGAAAAACAAAATGTGCATGACATCTGTGGTTGTATTTTATTTAATGTGTTTGTAAGGGAATAAAACATCTATCTGATTCTTTTTTCATTCATTCTTTTTTTAATTTTTTTTCATCATGTGGGGTTCTGATCAATACCTGATCAACACCCTCCATGCAGTGGTGCAGCAACAGATGACATCTTAAAGTGATCTATTGTTCTTGGCAATCAACCAGAGCTGTACAAGCTCTGTCCCAGCCTCCATATCAAGAGCAAGTGATATTGATACATTATCCATATAAACACAATGTGGGAGCTTATCAGAGTATGACTGAACTCTCATAGCCTAGCCACCTTGGGTTTGTTATGTGTACATCTAGATCTCAGAGATTACTTAACTGTAAAAGGCATACATATGTTTTTATGGGTGACCACTCTTATACAGTGCACTAAAACCTTGATTTGTAAAGTCCACTCTTCCTATGCACCCTTTCTTTAAGGTTAGGTTCACTAATGCACAATGTGCCATGGCAGGCAAAAGTACTATTTTTTGTAAAAACTACAACTCACAGTATTTCTTTGCTGCGTGTGGTGATATACTGCATCTCATGTATTGTATGCCGTTAAAAACAAATCGCACTACAGCACACCATGGCACAAAATGCACTTTACTGCAACACAACAATGTGAACACAGCCTTCCAGAAAAAAATACAGGCAAATACTTAGATCACGTGTCTGTTTTCTCTTTACCAGTCCTCTTTTTATATTTATTTTTTATTTTGTTCTTGATGCTGCATTCTTCATTTCAAATGAATTCTATTGTTTTCTTAATTTCACAATGTTTTTTAATATTAGACAGGCATGTTATTGACATGCACTTTGAATTACCTTGGTTGGTCTCTTATGCACAGATCTGTACATAGAGTTTATCACCTGGACATGACCTGTAATAAGATCATGTTAGCTGTTGGCTGCAACTGCTAAAGTGTCTTATGACAGGGGGTCAGGCAAGCCAAAATATCTGACCGGCTGATATCTCTGCTCCTCCAAATAGTCTGTGAATGACTTGCAAATTCATAGTAGATTGCTCATTAGTGTCAGCAGAGCCAATGGAACAAACCGATCACCACTAAGTACATTGCTTTATACAAGCTAAACCTGTTCCATATCTGAGCTAACAATTTAGATGTTGAATATCTCATTTTGGAAGTCATATTCTCACTGCTACACGTGATTTTGCTGAACGTAATGGATACCTCAACTATTGTTGCTTTTCTCCCTTGTTTAGCACAATTTGTACATCTACCAGATGTCATGGGTAAAAAAAACATGTGTTCATGAGGCAACGGAAGAATTCCAAAATCAGTCTTGTCAGTTCAAAGAAGCTACATAATAGCTATGCGGCACACATTGACACAAAAGAGGCCGATATTAAAAGCGCAAAACTTAAACTATGAATCTTATGTAATCAGCATTCCTTCCTAAAGCAGAACTGTAGCCGTAAATGACAAGATAAGCCACCAAAACCTTGTTGTTATGTCCTAATGCTGGGCCACTCTGACAGGCAAAGCTTCAGCCCTTCCTTATAGTGACAGTTGCCCTCCCCCCACCCCTTCCTTTCTGCCTCATGCACATTCATATTAGCCAGTGAGGCTGCCCATTATAATGATAAGTCAATATTATTGTCCATTCCACACAAAATAAATGATACAAAATTTGCATTGAAAATTATTGAACATCAGCGGGGTACATCCAGAGTGCTTAAAATCTGACGTGTTTACACTCATTAGCATTTATTCACTCCCCATGACTACTCTGTCGAATTGTAATGAAGTGTTTGTGCCATCATTTATTTGTAAAGACTATAAAAAGCTGGATGTCATGTGCATGTTTGTGGTGGGCAAAGTGTTGACCCAACTGGAGTGGTGACTGCTTGTTTTGAGAGCAGAGGAATTAATTGGGTTAATTTTGCCTCTTGGAATGACCTTCAGCTGTGACCGCAAGATTTTTAGAGACTGCTGCTGGTCAATGTAGGTATGTCCTGCTCATTACTTGTATGTGTATCACAAGGTTGAAGGGAGAAGCACTTCCTGTTGGTATTAAAGATTTCCCACAGCTTTTGTGACTTCCTATTGGCACATCACTATGAGAGGCCACCTCCCTGACCAATCGATATGTGCGCAAGGCTGGATCGGGTGGGCAAGTTTTGACACCATCAGGAATGCTGGAGTTTTGCACTTTACACTACTTAGCAATTTGTTTTTCTTTTCTTTAGTGATAGTCACTTTAAAACATTAAAGTCAGAAGATGTTTAAGCAATTTATATGCTGATTGATGTTTAAAAACATTTAGCTTCCTACAGAATCAGCTGGTCTTTTGAGCACTGGCCTGATATCCTGTATTAGGGTGGCTCCTTGCCCTTGCAGCCTCCTATGTAGCCATCCTTGTGTGTGCTAGGAAGCTGTGTGTCCCTGCAAACACACAGGCACAGCAAAGCGTCACTCCACTGTTCCCCGATCCTCCGCCTTCCTCCCTTCTCCAAGCTATTAGATTAACAGCTGCTGAAGATTGTGCTGTCCCTTGTGATCTTGTACTGTTCAGGTAAGCTGAAAAGGTTGGAGATGGCTGTTTGGAAGCATAATGACTGTGAGTGTTTGGGCAAAAATGTAAAGAAATTATTTGCTGAGCAATGAGGTTTGTTTGGGGATTAATTATTTAAAAAGATTTGAGAGTTTAATATGTATATTTCTATATATCAGATGCTTTTCATTTCCTTTCTAATTTCAGGATGTTTGTTCACTTTGCTATTCTATGAAAGTAAAATAAATGTTTGTGTGGTTTTACAAACCAAGTTTTTATTTATATGTTTTAAGACTTGAACATCAGACACAATTGAAAAAAAAAAAAAAAAACTTAAGAGAAGTAAGCTAAAATTTTGGTAATGTAGAACATTCTGTCCTTCTTTTTTTAAATTATTTTTACATTTATGTAACTTTTTATCTGCAATTGCCTGTTTGCAATTGTTTTTCTTTTACAGGTGGATTAGTAGAATTAACTCGGCGGCTTCTGGTTATGTGGAGAGAGAGAGGATTAAACAAGATCAAGGTAGCCAAAAATATTTTAAAGGGCCTGTTAATGAAAAACATCAATTAATTGTTTTTTTGTTGCTTTACAGCAGATGTTGTACATTAGCTACACTAAAATAAAAAGCATGTTTTAAGTACCTATTGCAGTAAACATTTATTTTTTTCTGTTAAAACTCAGGAATTTAAAATGTAAATGAGTCAATCTAAATCTAGCCCAATATTAATTTTTAAGGACAAGTCCGCCCACAGCCACTACAATGAAGATCTTTCTCCTTGTATTTTTGTTTTATGATAACAAAAATGCACAGTCCACTAAAATAGTGGAATAATAAGATGGATGTGAATGTTTGAATGAGCAATCTTGGATGTCTCTGAGACACCTCCAGAGAAATTTCTGTACATGAAATGAAAATTCCGCCAACCTGCTAAAGCTATTATAAAAGGGTCAAATTTTTTGCATTGTGTTTATTTTTCTTACCTAATGGAGGATGAAGCAAAAGGATCACTACCTACTGCAGCCAGGGTTGATGTTGGGAATTGGAGTCTCCAAGAAATATAAAGCGATGTATACGATTTAACCCTCCAGTGTCAACTCACAATAGGCCTTGCAGCAAATCAAATGTAACAGTCCAATGCTAAATCACACTCCCTAAATGATAAACCCTACACCTGCAAGCACTAAAAGAACTGAAGTTCACTGTGAATCTCAAAATACACAAGGTTCCACGCTTATCCCCAATGGATCTCAAGATAAATATATACTATAAATGTGCAAAATATATTCATAGCGTCAATGTATAACACTAAATAGAAATGTGAACCAAACCAGTGCTGATTTTAGTCATAAAACACATACATAACACATAAATAAGTGCAGGTGCAAATCGAGTACTAAACATTCTTTACTTGTAGTATAATTTGAGATGATGTACTGCAGTGTCACTTGGTAGCATCCATAATCATGTTCTCACACCTTATGGAAATAAGCTCACTTTTATGGTAGGACCTTAAAATTATAAAAGCTCTCTTAAGCAGATCCCCTACTGGGGCAATATGCTTCTTCATTGATCCCTTCCCTGGTAATTGGCAGCAACTGTACCTTTCTTCTATGGTAGCTCTCTGAATAAGATTAGAATTTGCACCTCCTTCCCTTCAAGTTGTGTCACAGGCAAAGAACAGACAGACCATAGTGTTTTCCATAACAATGTATTAAATGAATATAAAACTCACATTAAAATGTGCACTGATCATGCACTGGGTGATACGCAGCAGTCACACTGAATGTACATATACCATTAGCTGGAGGATTGCTACCGTAGTGTGTTTTCCAGTACGCACCTGATCCCTCACACTTCCACATCACTCAGCTTTGTCATGTCATGTTGATCCGTGCAAAGCTTCCCCTATAGGGCAATTAAAAAATGCCCACAATTGTAATAGGTGTATAAATATGTAAATAAAATATATAATAAAAATTGTGCAATCCTACTCAATAAAGTGTTAAATCATTTATAGCAATAGGGCAAATAATAAATAACCAGTAAACAAATTATTAGATAGATAAATCCATCCTCCCTAAAGCATTGTGTAAACGTACGACCTTCAAAATAAAAACCCACAACAGTATAGTGCAGTCTGTACAGTACAATCAATCCTTTTAACAGTTACAAAGATGCATACAAGTGCAGCCATGATTCAAAGTTCAGTCTCTAAAGAGTGATCAATCTGATCACAATTGTATTTGTTTTTGCATATTTTTGTACCCGTTTGGGTATTCTTAAAACAGTTTATTACTTTAAGCCTAACTCAAACAATTCTTCCCACTTTGTTACTTTACTAGTGGGTTAGCGAGTTTCATCTAAGGAAACCCAGATTATAGCTTTCAGATATTAGAAAATGCCAGTTATATTGATGTAATTTATATAGCTCATACAATTATAGAGTTGTATAAATAGCATTATTACAAGGATCTTCATTTGAAATCATACTTATATTGTTTTTTTATAAATTTCACTTAATTTGTCAAAATTGATATCAGACATTGAACAATAGTTTCCTACTCACTACTGCACTGTGGAATGTGGGTGCTCAGTACTGTACTGAGCACAAAAAATGGTTCTACAAAAAGTATTAAAAAACTCCTATAGTAGAATTATCGGGTCACTTGTTTCGGTTACTAAAATTGCTCAGCTCAAATTCTACTTGTAATGGTGTTTTAAGCTTTTATAAATTGGTTATGCTTTTAGCTTTAAGTTGTGGACAGTAAACATTTTGTATAACCAATAATCTGTCAGAGTAAATATTGATTTGGTGGCTAGTGGACAAATGATTTTTTCCTAATTGATTTTGTACTATTTTTGTAGACTACTGGAGTGAGAGTGATCAAGAAGATGCAGAAACTCCATCAACCCCGAAACAAGACAGTCCCCCTCCGCCTTATGACACATATCCAAGACCAGCTCCAGTAAGCACCTTGATGTTCCATACATAGAACTGATTTAAAGCTGAATTTATTATGTATTTCCTAATCACAGTTATGCACTTTTCCCACCACAGTTGTGAAAAATGTGCTACAACAAATGTGAATCCAGCTCTGCATAGTCATTGAGTGGTCATCCTGGTGAAGGGGCAGCTAAAGGGAATTTGGTGGGCAATACAACTTTGATTCTGCAGTTGTTGAGCTTAAGCTATAGCTTGTTATAGTGTTCTTATACATTTAAACCTATTGTATTTATCTTTCCAATGATCTATGATTATTACGGGTGAAGCCTCAGCACAGGGTCAGATCAAATGGTAGACTTTACTTGAAAAATAAATCCATTTGGATAACATTTTGGTAAATAAAAATTGATATAGCATATGACTGATACACAAATAATTTTTTAATATAAGGTTATTGAAAGTTAGTTTTGCAATTTAATCTGAACACAGCTATGATTTTCTTGAAATGGTAATAAATGTCTCTCATACTTAGCATATTTAGTGACAACAACCCTAAGATCATGGTTTATAACATATTAGAGTTGCACAGATACCAAGTACAGTACTCGGTACAAGTACATGTACCGATACTTTTGAGCTCCAAGACTGCACTAGAGAAAAATTCAAAAATTAGGAGGCAGCTGTCATTTGTAAGGAGCACACGGAGCTCCTGGGATTTGTACATCTCTGTTTTAATGTACGATTTTGTTTTTATAAATATAAATAAAGGGATGCACAGATACCAGTTTTGTGAGTACGAGTACTGGTACTTGCCGAGTACTTACAAGTCCGAGTACTGATACATTTTTGTTTATTGTCATGTGACATCATTACATCAAACATGTCATTTAGAAACTGAAAATATTTTATTTAGAGTTGTGGCTGTCCAGTTTTCAGTCATGGATACCAACTACTATCATTTCTGTCACTTGACATTTTCCAGACAACTTGAATGTATCCTGTGAATAGTGTTTTGTTTTTGTTTTTTAATTCTTTATTTGTAAACAAAGTGGTGGGATACAGAGATAATTCACATCGTATCTGGGCCACATGGCCGCACATTAAACCAAGGCAATGAACAACCTGATGATTAGTGTAGTGCCAAAAACAAACATTGGGAACCTCTCCAATCGAACTTCTCAAACAATATCAGAGAATGTAAAGTACATACATAATATAAACAAGAACACCAGTCAGGTTGGACTCTCTTCCACCCAGCCATCACATTACAGTATTGTTTTATGTTAAAAAATCTGAGGGTTTAATGTCACTTTAAATTTATACAGTCAACAGTCATGAACCTGCTGGGTGGTTCAGTTTAAGTAAACCTGTAGTTTGCGTAACCTTGGTAAACTGTGATCTGGACTTGGAAAGGGCCCCTTAAGATGCCTGCACCACTTCACATTCCTTCCAAAATACACACAAAACTGGATGAAATACTGCTCAAAGCTTGAAAGGGCCCACTGTAACTATCAGCAGCATTTATGGTTTTTTTAGTGACTTCAAGCCCAAATTTACCATTAGGCACAGTAAAGAGGTGCATTTTTCTTTTATAGATATTGACCACATCATCCCATCCTTAGTAGAAATACAAATGTGGGGTTCAAAGGTTGCATGCCTACTGGCTCCAGTGATGGAAAACTGGCCCTGGTCACTGTAAAGCAGAACTAAAGTCTGCATTGTTGTTGTTAGGCTTTTCCCTTGATGTACAAGTATGCATACATCTTTATCTCTCAAAGTACATCCATCCAGCAATGTGACATCTGCAATCTCAAATCATCCATGCTTTTCTTCTGGATTCGGGATGTTCAGCCATCTTGATTGGCCAGCCCCAGATTTCTTTACTCTATGCGCATGGGACTAATTTATTCCTGACACTGAAGGCATGTCGAGAAAGGCATGTGCAAATTGGTGCACGCTCAGAATAAAATTACTAGCAAGTTAGGCAGAAGCTTTTATGGTAGAAGGGTCTCTATTGTTATAAAAGCCTACTTGCTAGCATTTATTTTTTTTTAAAACACTTTAATTCTGCTTTAAAATGACAGCTCAATATAGCACAATGTCTTCATAAAATGTGTGACCAGATGGGAAAAGTATATGCTTTGTTTGGTTTTCTAAAGTAAAAAGGTGATCTTTCACTTTAATACTTCCAGCAGTTTTACCATGGTGACATACTGTAGATGGTGTGAAAACAGAATAATCCTTACCATTGGTTATCTCTAATACATTTGTTTGATAGACAAGAGTTGTATTTAATTTAATAGTTTTATTTTTGTTAGCTTCAGGATAAATGTTGCCCTGTGTTATATTAATGCTTTGATGTTGTAGCAATCAAAGGATTTTGTTTAAATGTCCACATGTTTAAATATCCTGTATTCCTTTCTTACATTTTAGGTACTTACTGATTGACTCAAGTCAGTAGGTGTTTCTGCCCTAAGGCACATCATGAATAAAGACTACTGATTTAACACGTAGCAAGTGTCCAGGCTTTCCTGCAACAGAAAAAACAACATTGCTGAATAAATCTCACTCAGTCAGTAACTACTTTACAAAGCAGGACCATTACCAAATGCCTATCTAATGGCATGATTCTCGCCTATCACAACGCCACTATCATTTTATACTTTTATATTCATCTATAACAGACCAATTCAGTAATCAATAGTAAGCTGCATGAGGCAGTAGAACATGTGTCTCAGTTTGGCTAAAAAAAAAAAAAGCTAACTTTCAAAGCCCAATATCACCACTCCTTCACAGCAGCACCACTATAGAGAATGATGGGTGCACACCGGTTGAGTCCATCTTGCTCCAGCATTAGCAGTTACTCACAAAAAAGTCCGGTCAAACACTGCAAGCTTTGCTGAAAAATTCTATTGTTACACACAGGTACACTTTGTCCCGACATGAACGCTCATCATTTAGACATGTTTCATCCAATAATGGGCTTAAGTCATGGAAGACTGTTAAACCCATTATTGTGTGAAACATGTCAAGGTGAGGAGGATGCATGGTGGTACGCTTGCGGTGTATGACCGGACTTTTTTGTGAGTAACTGCTGGCTACAAATGCTGTTTGCTCTTTGCCTAACAGCATGACCCAGATTTTTGAGGAACTCATTAAAGCAAGACTAGAAAATTTAGGGAGAATAGTGATGTGCAGAGACATGCGAGTAGTCTTCAGCACTCATTTGTAACACCTTGGGCTGGTTCTGACAACCTCTTGCAAGCAATCTCTGACAATCTATTGTACTAGCAACATTGCAATTCACCAATGTATGTTCTTCAGTGGAAAAAAGTGCTTACTGTAACATTACTCTTTTTATAAAAGGATGTCTGTTATGTTCCCTGCACACTTGGGACACGTGTTTAAGCAGTACATGAACTTTCTTTTTGCCTCCCCAATACATACTTACTGAGATCTGGGGCTTCCTGTGTTTGTTTACATCCTGTGCCAAAGTCCTCTCTCTGCTGTAGAGCCATATAGACAGCTAGTAGATGAAGGTAAATGAACCCCATAAAAGGCTATAGGGCTCTACTGCACAGGTGTGGCCAGCAGAGGGAGGACTTTGGCGCAGGATGTAAACAAACACAAGTGGCCCTTGGTGCCAGATCTCCATAATTATGCTTCTGCGGAGGGGGAGGGTGGGGTATGTTATGTCAGTGGAAAGTGCACTTATTCTTTCAATACAACATTTGCCAAGGTATGATGGTAAATCATTACATCAACTTTAATTTTAAACCTCTTTCCTGCAGATGTCATGTGCCAGTCCGTTTGTGGAGCCAAAACACAGGTTATCTTCCACAGAAACCTCGCAGTCCCAATCATCCCATGAGGAATACCGCCAGGAAGTTTCTGGAAGCACAACTGATTCTCCAGTGAGAAAAACAGCAAGTCAGAGGAGATCTTGGCAGGATTTAATTGAGACACCATTAACCAGCTCAGGACTTCATTATCTTCAGACTCTTCCTCTGGAGGACTCTGTTTTCACTGATCCAGGAGTGGCCTCACCTGATCATAGGCGCCAGTCCACACTTCCAGCTCCAAAATGCCACCAGCAAGACCACTATGGCCCATTTCCCTTAGTTGAAGGCAACAGATTACAAGTACTCAGTAGCAGTGGGGCAAAGCCTCGCAGTTTTACACTTCCCAGAGATGCTGGCTTAAGCCATTGTGCTGCACTTTCACCGGTCAGTATATTGGAACCAACAGAACCACCACAGATACAAGAGGTACATAAGGAAGACCCTTCCGAAGAGCCAGAAAAACCATATGAAGCAAGTAAGTATTCATGTTAACTCAGTTCAATGTATGCAGTTTACAGAAAAGATTATTCATGAATCTTAAAAGGCACTTACATAGAAAATTTACCAACAAGGGTTGGCTGAAACTTTTCTGTACAAAAATTCAAGGTCGGCTTATTACATAGCCCCCCATCTTAAATCACATTAAAAAAACAGCTTAAAAAACCCTGCACTTGTGGGGGGAAAAAAAAGATAGAAAATATACTTGCCTTTCTCCCAGATTGCGCCTTGGGCAATGTGATGTCACAACCTTTTTGATGAGATCCTGGGAATGTTGAGGATCCCAGATCTCTGGAGATGACACTTTGTGTTCCCAGGATCTTCTTGGGAGGATTGAGATGCTACAATCTGCAGTGCCAAAGGCAGCTATAAGGTAAGTATATATCTTCTAACTTTTTTTCCCCCACCCGAACATCAGACCTTGCATTTTTAGTGTAAGGTCATAGGACAGATGATATCAACAATACGATTGCAGATATCACATGGACCAACTAACATTTTACTACCTAATTGATCACTGACATCACACAGCTTCCTGAGCTATTTGTAAATGCCTTTAATATATAGAAGTAATATCAAAAACGTTAATAGAACATTAAACATATTTAGTAGTTAATCTGTTCATATCTGGGCCTACATGTAAGAATACATAATACTTGGGGGAAAAATTCAACCCACATTTCTAATTCAGTGTGCCTTTATAGCTGGCTCTAGGTGATAATAGCAGCCTTCCTTTACAGTATTTATATTTACATTGTGTTTTAGTTCAAGCCATGGTTGCACCTTTTGTAAGAAACCTAATTGATCTTTTCATACAAAGGAAATGAGAAACACACGGTAGGACAGAAAGTGCACAAAGACTGTTTATAAAGGAAACCTTTACTTAAAGAAATACAGAGTCTGCTGTGGCTGGCTTCCTCCTGGCCATCTAAGAGAAGTCTGAGTGCACATTTGTCCCATGTCAGTGACTTTGATTAACATGACAGCTGGGAAACAAGAATTGTAACTAGACAAACAATAATGCTGTCAGAGGCGCTTTTGTCAGTTACCCTTTATGCACATGGTTTAAAGAGGAACTCCAGGATTTTCAAAAAGTTAACCCCTGCAGTGTTGCTAACTGCTCGTTTTGATGTAGGTAGCAGAATAAAGAAGATATACTCGCTTGATCCTCTGCCCTGTGGCAGTGACCACTGACCTCTCTCCCCTTCCTCTCTGGCTGTGGTATGCCAAAAAGACCTGTTATATAGATATGACATTACAGGTCTTTTAGACCACCGGTACCCAGGGGGAGAAGAGGCAGCAGGGAGCGGTCTAGCAGCCAGGCAGGATTGAGGTACAGGTAAGTATATTTTCTTTATGTTCGACACTAGACCAAAACCAGCATTTAACCCTTCCAGTGCTGGGGAAGTCCCACTGCAAGGGCTAACTTTTGAAAATCCTGGAGTTCCTCTTTAAACCATGTGCATAAAGAGTAACTGACAAAAGCTCCTCTGACAGCATTATTGTTTGTCTTAACCACTGTCCTTGATCCTGCACAGGTTGGCTTGCATGAAGATGCTGTAAAAATATAAATACAGGCATGAGAAATAAAAAGGAATTCATATACTGCTATATAAAAAAGATTTTTTTGATGGGCCAGTTCTTGAAGCAACTTTCATTATTTACAAGTATTTCATATATTTTCTATCCCCACCAAGTGCAACACCCAAATATAAATTTCCTGGCATGTGTGAACGTGCTGTGTCTGAACACATCACACAACAGTCTGCAGATGTTAACTCTTGTTTGATGTTTTTTTTATGTGCATTATATGTACATGCAACAATTAAAAACTGCTTACGTTGTTCTGTTCTTTTTGTGGATCAATGTATTCATCTCACGTGATACAGTGTACAGATGGTTATCCCTCATGGACAGCTGCTTGAGATTGCTTAGTACGGTAGCCTGTGATGTAGCATTAGGTAGAACGGTTTAATTCTGTTATGTAATTATGAAAGCATTTGTTCAGACTCTGATTTGTATCGGATACAGAGTATGTACTGAATATGGCATTTCTGTAATCAAAGGGTATGCATTTCTAATAAATGATACACCTCCAGAGTCCATTGTAAAACTTTCTGTGGGCTGACAGATGACCAGCATTGTTTATATTGAAAATTGACATATAGTTTTGTTTTTTCACCTGTGGGCATATTAGCCTTCCGACCCCTGTATTTCAGGGGACTTCTGTTTCTGAACTACCAGTTGATTTTGAGTGTGCACCAATGAACAAGGCATATGTAAGACAGTTGGAGAATTAACTGTGGAATTATTGTAATTTCCCTTATTACTTAGTGCTTGTCAGTCTGTTACAGAACAGATTTGTTGCACAAGCCAGCGAATTTGAACTGTGGAGAGCTGTTCTATGTTGCACTCATGTGTGATGTAGATGTATATCTGGTCCTCATGTGAGGCAGTGTCCTTCTGTGGGGAACAGCATCCTAATGAAAAATAGGAAGGAAATAAGGACTGGAGCTTTAAACTGAACTATTTTATTCCAGAGAGCCAGTGTAATTTGTACAAATAGCCAGCATGTTTCAAGGGTTCAAAGGTGCCCCTTCATCAGGGTTTAAGAATGAATATAAAGCCTACGGTGGTGGTAGTATGGAATTTCATAGACAATTAGGTTCATAACGTGTGGACAGACAGCCTTCTGGCACACTCTTGAGTTGCTCATGATTACAGTTTAGTGGAATTATAATCATTAGCTGCGGGGTTCATTAACGGGGTTTAAATTACCTCTAAATTAGCTCTAAATTACCACTCCAGTCCCTATTTCCTACTCCAGTCACAATCCAAATGAACCCTGGGAGCCCATTTTTGTGTTTGAGCAGCCAGCTAAGTGTCCAAACATTGTTACCATTTACACACAATGGAGGACAAATAGAATATAGCCCTGATGGATCAATCAATCCCCATCTACTTTTCTGAGCAGCAAAACAACTGACATTTCTAACTCTTAATTAGAGGAAACATTGGCTTCAGTTGAATTGCAAGTGGCATATATCCTTCCTTTTTCTGATTGTCACAACGATTGTGACTGTCATTTGATTAGTGCCACTACACCAAAACTGACAGCAAATATTGTTGATACAGAGGATTGTAGAAATCATGCATTGCTCCTGCGACAACAGATATCCCTTGTTGAGTACTGGCATGCCCATATTATACAGCAAGAATGGCCAGAGACAGACAGTGAAAGATACTGGCTCAGTAAATATCATTGTTTTCTTATTTTTTGTGAATAGAGCTTTTTGCTGAAGAGAAATGGGAATTTACTAGGAGTACTGTCCTAACAAATAACACACATGATGTTTCAGTAATTACTGTATGAATACCTACAAATTGTATACATATGTAAAAGACAATTTTCAATGTATTGAATCTCTGATTTCTAGAAGAATGATAGAGGATGGAAAATGTTGAACATTGTTGTTAAGAGTTGTTAAATAGAAATTAGACGTGCATTCGGATTCGGATGAACCTGCAAATCAACGAAAATCAGTTGATTCGGCGGTTCATCGGAATCAAAATAAAAAATGTAATATATGCCTGAATATACTAAAACGATATTCGGCATACATAACTTAGTTGTCAGAATATGCTGTCATTTGTAGGTGGAGCGTATGATGACGCACGGCGGTGACGTCACACGCTGAACGAGCGGTGGCCAGATTGGCAACCGGCCCGTTCTGCACATGCGCACCGCCATTTTGGAGTAGATCTTGGTATACACCAAGATGGCAGTGCTCGAACATGCGGGCACCACCATCTTGGTGTATACCAAGATCTACTCCAAATTGGCGGCACGCAGAACGCGCCGGCGGACGACCCGGCCGCAGTTTCAGTGTGCGGATTCGGAGGCAACAACATAAAAATTTGTTTCCTTTGACGAAACGAATGAAAACGTTTTTAGTTTTCATTTGTTTCTTCTGGAAACAATTTTTTTTGTTGTGCACATGTCTAATAGAAAGCTTGCGGTATACGGAGATGGCGCAGCTCGGACGGATCCCGACATTACTGTCTGGATCCACCCAGCCTATCTAGAGGCAGAGCCAGCTGTACCCGTCCCCTCCCCCTTCCGTTCCGCCAGTCAGCACAGGAGGATTGGACAGGGAAGGGGGGAATCCCAGCAGGGAGTCGTGAGTGACGATCACGGCTCTCTGCAGGGCCAGGATCGAGAAGTGAGCGAGCGATGGTATGTGTTCGCTCACTTCCCAATCTATTGAGCCGACCTGTGACAGTTTCATTGTCACAGGTCGGCTAGAACTATGAGGCTGAGTGATTTTCACTCGCCTCATAGTTCTCCTTTAAGTAGCTCTGCCACTCTTTTTAGCATTATGATTTCCTGTCCTAGGACCTAAGGATTTATTATTTACTTAATTTCTATTGGATTTACTCACTTTATGACCTCTGGTAATAAATGATGGAGGCAGAATGGACTGACACTGAGAGCGCTTACCCACCTGGCTTGGTGAAACATCTTAATAAGCAGGAGTGAAGGCAATTAAGGCATTTCTTTTGAAATCTCTCTCTCTTACTCTAAAGGTGCCCATACACCTTACGATTATCGTACGATAATCGTATGCGATCGACTTTTCGTACGACAATCGTAACGTGTGAATAGAGTGCCCGACCGATAGTACTGTACAATCGTACGACTTTTGACGGTCAAGCATGTTTGAAAACTTTGGTTGATCGTACGATGTTCGCATGGTTGGTGGCGTTTCCGTCCTTCAAAAGTCGTACGATTAACACTGCGCATGCGCAAACGAAAATAATTGCGGTCAATTACCGCAAGTCGTCCAGGTGTTTTTTTCTAACTACCGCTGATTGAACCTTGCGATAATCGGGGCAGGATGGGGCCGTCGTACGAAAATCGTACGACGGTTCGATCATCAGACGAAAAGTTTCGTCCGATAATCGTAAGGTGTATGG